TTTTTTCCTGGTATAGAGCTCGGTGCTGGGTACATGCAGATGAGAAAGACAGTTGCCCTTAAAGGAGTTCCCAGTATAGAAAATTCTACAAGTGATGAGATCATCAATATGATAATGATTGTGGGAGAAGGGACAAAAATGGCAAAAGTCTTGAGGGTCTTACATTTCTATCCCCTTAATAAATGTAAAATAGTCCTCATTATTGTGAATTAACTTTCCTATATTCTCCTCCTAGGACAAAAAAGCTGCATTGGAAAAGGAGCGGGAAGAAAGGATAGCTGAAGCTGAAATTGAGAACTTATCTGGAGCCAGACACTTAGAAAGTGAAAAACTTGCTCAAATATTGGCAGCAAGACAGTTGGAAATTAAACAGATTCCATCTGATGGCCACTGTATGTATAGAGCCATTGAAGATCAACTCAAAGAACAGAAATGCCCTTTGACTGTGGCTGCCTTGAGAAGTCAAACTGCTGAATATATAAAAGGCCATGTGGAAGACTTTCTGCCATTTTTAACAAACCCTAATACGGGAGATATGTATACTCTAGGTAATTTATTTTTCTTTACTATGTCTTGTTCCTGCTGTTAAATAAAGTGATTCTTGGCATTGAGAAGAAGAAAAACCTATTATAGTTCTTATGGAGGAAAAAGTCTCAAAATTTAGGCAGAATTGTTTTTTATATTATAATAGATACTAGTATATTGTTTAAGGCAAAAGTGGAATAGGATTCATTGTTATTACTGAGAAAATTATGTTTCTGAGTTCACATGTCACAAAGTAGGCATAGAGGGAGGTATGCTTTGACTAGTCTGTGGAAGTATAGGGTCCAAAGACCATAAGCAGAGAATGATCGGAAAACCAAATCCTTTTATCCTATACTTTGGGAAATTCAATTTTACTTTCAATAAGCCACAATACTTAGGCAAAATTTGACTCTGCAAAACCAAAAACAAATGAGTTAATAACCTGCCTTATTATCCTAATACCTTTGACAATTAAGATAGAATATTTATGGGGAGGTAGAAAAAAGAAAAACTAGCCAGTAAAGGAGAGAGCAGGTGAAAATCTGAAAGAGTGTTGGGGAGAGTCAGAGATATGAGAGAGGAAAGTTCATCCTTAAGAGAAGATTGCAGGTGTGGCAGTATCCATTGGCAAGTCAAATGACCAGGAGGGGTAGGAGAAGGGATGGTTAAGGTTGACTTTGCTTTAATGGAGTCCCTGACTCTGCTAGTTGCAGGGCAGTGGAAAAGAGTTGGCAACTCAGCATGCTGAATTTTAAAAAAAGACAAAAGACTTAATTTCTTATTCATTTAGTCAATATTTATTGAAGGCCACTATGTGCCAGGGAGTCTTCTAGGCACTTCTAGGACCCTGAGCACTGGGAATATAGCAGTGAATGAGGCAAACACACAGGACATACTTTTCTGTACATGTCCATAATTTTTTTCCTTTCCTCTAAACAGGAAGGGTATTAGTTTCCCATTTTTAACTTTCTGTATAAGGTGTGTATGCTCAAGATGTGCCATTAAACTGCACTTAGGTCCTACTCTCATGACTCGTCCAGGAAGTCCTTTCTTTGGCTAGAACTGATACTGAAGCAAATAAGGTAAATGCTTTAAAAATAACAAATAGAGGCACTGTTTGATGCTACTGCTGGCAAAGGAGTTTCAACTCCTTTCTAGTTTTACCCTGATTCTCTTTTCACATCTTTTTTTTTTTTTAATGTTTATTTTTGAGAGAGAGAGACAGAGCGTGAGCTGGGGAAAGGCAGAGAGAGAGAGAGGGAGACACAAAATCTGAAGCAGACTCTAAGCTCTGAGCTGTCAGCACTGAGGCTGATGCAAGGCTCAAACTCACAGACCGTGAGCTCATGACCTAAGCCAAAGTTTGATGCTTAACTGACTGAGCCACCCAGGTGCCCCTCTTCTCACATCTCTTGTGGGGTCTTACAGTGGACCCAATTTAAGGCTGCAGTGTTTTAGTTCAGTGTATTTTTTCAGATGCAGGTTTGGATTTTAAAATACATGTCAAAATATTGAGTATGGTGGCAGTTTTGAGGGTTGCTTAGCTAAAGAGAGAAGAATAGGCTTGCTATGTAATTAAGTCCCTAGGCCTCAGCGTGAGGGAGAGAAACAGAAATGAATTGCTTTCCTCTCAGATGGAGAGGTGGTGGAAAGTTGGAGCGAGTTAAGTTTGGATCTGGGAATTGGATTAAATTCTAGAGAGTGCAGGTAGACAAAGGAGTAGGTTTACAACTTGAGTAATGATCAGGAATTGTGGGAGCTATAAAAGGGATCTGGTAACATGAGTTATGAAAATTATTAAGTGCTATATTCTTATTTTTTCTACAGAAGAGTTTAGGAAGTACTGTGATGATATCGTCAACACAGCTGCATGGGGAGGTCAGCTTGAGGTAAGTTTGTAATTATTCATAGTATTTGTGGATTGTTAAATTATTTCTAAATCCCGTATCAGATGTATTTTTCAGATGGTCCCACTTTCTCTTTGAGTATCCCTTTTTGTTACGTATTTGCCGCTTCTCTACTCATGAAGCATTGAAATGGGGAATTAACATTCTTAGGCCGTTAAGTATGTATCTTTGGGAAGTAAAGCACTATTTCATTTTAAATAGCCCAGTGGTTGATTTGTGGGTTGGTAAGGCTAATGTTACTCTTGGGTGTTTCCATTTGTGATGCTGCTCCTGGCAATATATTTGATTTTCTGGACTTATGAAAGTGATGATTTTATTCAAGTATAGTAAGATTTAGCCTAGTGGCTCAGCTGATGAAAATCACTATTATAAAGTAAAGAGAAAACCGTATTTTTATGTGAAATTATGGGTCAGATCCTGCCACAGTACATCATAATTGGAATTCCAGTTGAGACTGACTTCAGAGCAGTATCTGATGCATCAAAATTCACATGTAGGAAGACAGTATGTTCAGCCACTTGTAGGGAATTCATCAGGATTTTTTTAAAGCTTTATCTTACTTTAACTTTGTTTTATTAAAACAGAATAAACATCTAATAGTTCCAAGTGGTGATAAGGCAGCCTGGGGTATTCAAAAGTCAGGGGATAGGAGAGAAAGTCCTAGGTTTGGGTCCTGGCTTTCCTTCTACTTTTCAGTTTTGTGACCTGCGGGGAGTCAGCCATGTTTCCTGAGCTCGAGTGTCCTAATTGAATAGGGATAATAAAACCCCTGTGTGTACTTGGTAGGTCATTTGTGGACATTAAATAAGACAAGTATTGTATGCATAGAACTTTGTAAGCTAACGTGCCAGATGGATGAATCTAGCAGTGGAATTAATATTGTGTAGTGGTAATTAGTCACCTTGAATGGTTTGTGGATCTGAGTATTTCACTTCAAGAACTATACTTTTTGGAGAAATGACGTGAATGCTTCTTTAACGTCTTTTTCTCAGTAAGTCTGTATTTGTACCTCTTCTGAGCCACCAGAGGGAACTGTGTCCATTCGTTTTGTATGCCTCTCCTGGGTCTCTGAAACTCAGGAAATTGTCATAGTAGCTTTGTGACTACATTAGGAGTAAAGGTGCTTGAACTTTCTTGAGGAGCACAAATTAATAGAACTACAGACCTAAGCAAGTCTTTTTAAAGAGAGAAAAAAAACTTTACAACATCTTTTGAAGGACATTTACTCATAAATTTTTGGTCTATGAATTCATTTGACATAGGAATTGCTGTTTTTACAATGGGGTAAATTTAAATTATTCAAGAGAAATTCTTTATATGATTTTTAAAGACTTCGAAGGGATGTTAAGATTTCCAGAGCTTGCTTCACACTCTCCATTCTGTGCTGGCTTTTAAAAATGTAATTTCAGGTATAAGAAAAAAATACCTCAAAGGAACATTTTATGAGGTAGAGTGTGGGATTAAGTTTGCTACTGTGCAGTACAGAATTTCCATATATTTGAAGAAATTTCTTACCCTTCTTTTACAACATCCTAAAAGGACCATGTTCCAGACAAAATGTTCTTATGATTGGGCAAATACATAGATGTGAGGGCACTAAGATTGAGGACTGTTGAATGATTAATTTATGAACTTGGGCTCCAGAGTCAGACTTCTCAGTTCAGTTGCAGGTCACTTTATTTCTTTACGCTTGACTTTGGGCAGGCATCTTGACCACTCGCTTTAGATTCTAGGTCTTTACCTATCCCATAGGATTATTGTCAGGATTGAATGAGTTAATATACATAAAATGCATAGTGTTCCTGGTCATAGTAGGTCTAAACAGTGTTACTACCAATATTTATTATTAACTATTAGTCATCTGCCTTTAAACTCTATTTTTATAATGTATGGTATGAAATTAACATTGTGTATTAATCATGTGGAAAATCCATGAAAGGATAGTACAATTCACATACATAGCTACTCATGCCTTGAATATTATGGAACAGTGGTTTTCAGCACTAGTACATTAGAATCATCTGAAAGCTTTTAGAAGAATAAACCTCCTAATATTTCCTGTTCTTTCTCTCCTTCTCCCAGCCCCTCCCAAATTGTAATTGATTTGATCTGGTGCCTGAGTGATAGTATTTTTAAAAACTGGCAGTTTTCAAGCAGTATTCAAAAGTAGAGGGACTAGTATAATGAACCTTTACTTCATTAACTATGGTATTGCTATTTCTAAAAAGCTGTTGTGTAGCCAGGGCTTGAAATTTCTGCGTTTGATTTAATAAATATTACATTTGTTTTTTCAACAAATCGTATTAAATGTCTACTCTGTGGCAGGCAGGCTCTTGGTGTATAGTGAGGAACAGAGTAGATCTCTGTTGGATGATGGTTGCCCTATTCATGCATACTCAGTAGTTTATGACTTGAGTAAGATTTACCTTTTTATTTTCCTTACTAATACATTTTCTTTCCTATAGCTAAGAGCCTTGTCTCATATTTTACAAACACCAATAGAGATAATACAGGCAGATTCTCCTCCTATTGTAGTTGGTGAAGAATATCAAAAAAACCCATTAATACTTGTGTAAGTACCTGGAAATTTCTACTGTTACATTTTTCATAGTTAAGACAAAAAGAATTATTCAAAGATGTTAGGTTGTATATGTTGATTAATTAGAAAAAATATGTCTTCGGTTGCATTAATTACGCTTATTTTATGTTAAAGGCAATTATAAAATTAGAAAGCATTGTCAGTGAATATGTGATTTAGATAATTGTTTTTTTTTTTTTTTTTCAACGTTTATTTATTTTTGGGACAGAGAGAGACAGAGCATGAATGGGGGAGGGGCAGAGAGAGAGGGAGACACAGAATCGGAAACAGGCTCCAGGCTCTGAGCCATCAGCCCAGAGCCTGACGCGGGGCTCGAACTCATGGACCGCGAGATCGTGACCTGGCTGAAGTCGGACGCTTAACCAACTGCGCCACCCAGGCGCCCCTAGATAATTGTTTAAACTTATAGTGGTTTATTCTTGTGTATGAGTTAAGAATAAAATCATTTCTAAAGATTACAGATTTTAGGATTAGTTTTCATACTGTCTTAGTGTGACATTAATAATGCTAAGTTTCAACAAGAACAAAAGCGGAAATATATTCATGTTGCCTAATTGGTTATTCCTTAGAGAGTTTTTCTTCGTATTGTCAAAGTATTTTACGTGATTGAGAATTCTTTTTTGAAACACAGCATGGAGAGTTTGCTGTTGGCTTTAGTGTTGTTTATTAGCCAGACTACCAAGGTAATCATTAATGGCTTAGATTTAGGTAAAAATTTAAGGTTATTGAGTACTCAGCATCTCAGTAATTTTCCTTTGCCCCCTAATGATTGTGTTTTCCCTGACTTAAACTCAGCAGACAGAGTTATTGAACCAGATTTTACTGACTGCTGAAGCTTTTCAAATGGGTTTGAACTTTTAAGTAATATGTCAATGAAGTCTTTGAATGATACCCCTGTGGAGTGATTCATTGAGTGTTTGGTTTTATATACATAATAAACATTTATATACAATGAATTACTTTCGTCTAAACTACTCATTTCTCCTTTTCTCATTTCAGATATATGAGACATGCATACGGCTTAGGAGAACATTACAATTCTGTTACACAGTTGGTGAACACAGATACTGAAAATTGCAGCTAGTTTACAAAATGTTACACAATTATGTTTTAGTACAGTGTGCCGATCTGAGTCTTCTTACAAGTGCTGGATTGTTCTGACATTACTGAAAAACAAAACTACCTTAAATCAGTTTTATGGCAAAGCTACTAACAGATTTTTTTTTTAAAGTATGCCAGAGATAAACTTTAACCAGTGTTCCCTTTGTGGTATTTAAAAACACTTGTGAGTCGTTGTGGAATACATCATTTACAGACCAAGATAGTACCTATTTGCTGATATTTTTACTAATATAGGGTCTTGAACATTCTGTTATGCGTTGAAATAAATTTGATTTTTCTCCTTATTACTACAAGCTTTCAGTAACCATTTTAATGTAACTTTCTTGAAGAAATGAAATGACTTGGTCATTGCAAAAATGTGGTAAAGGTGACAGCAAATCTAATTAATGCTTATAAATGTATCTGATTTCAGTAACCCTGGTATTTGATGGAATTAATACTATGAAGCTTTTTATATAACCCCATCAAAGTGCAGCTAAAAAGCTTGCTTTAATAACTAAAAATTTTAAAATATTTATTCACATGGGAATCAGTTAAGTGTAAGAAATGAGAAATTTAAAGGTAAATAGGTGTTCCTATCAGATCAGACCTCTAAAGAAGTACCATCATGTTTTCTTACAGTTTTTTAGTGTCTTTTATTTTTTTATTCTATTTTTTTATTTTTTAAGTAATCTCTCCACCCAACATGGGGACTTGAACACATGACTCCACAATAAATAAAGAGTTGCTTGCTCTAAGTGAACCAGCCAGAAGCTCCAGTACCATCATTTCTTGATCATATTCAAAACTGCAAATTTTTATATTCTTCGTTATGTTTTCCTCGTCACCACTTAGCTGCTTTGCTTTCCTTGTGGTCTTTTCCACTCATAAACAGTTTGTGGCCTCTCATTTTTTTTTTTTTTTAACTTGTACACACTGAAGGAGTAGCAATGTAAAAGGGTCCAAGGCCAACTTTACTTCAAATTCTCCTCACTTTCAATTTGTCTTACCAGACCTCTGTTTTTGTTTCATTCTCCAGGATTAGAAGAAAGTTAGTTAGCCTACATTTATTTCAGATATGTGAGAATGTTTATGTTACATATAGGGATCAAGTTGAAAGCCACTGTTTGGGAGCTAAGACTGAATAGTAAAATCAGTATACAATACTTTCTGATATGAATGATTTATCTGGCTCAGATTTCACATTATTCTTAACACTATTCTAAGAAGATAGTATCTGTATGTAGAAACATGTCTCGCTGATAATTTGTTATGTAACTAAGTATTAATGAAAATGAAACTTTTGGTTTCATCTGCTTTTCCCAAATTAGGAGTAAATACTAAGATTTAGCATCAAATTTATAATATTTCAATTTTTGCTCCATGAGCGCAACTAATTTTTGTAAGTAAATATTGGGTTTTATGATATTAAAACCAGTTGTTAGTCTCACATGCCCACCTGATGACAATGTGGGAAGCTGGTAGGGACTGTGGTCAGCTATAGCAAGTACTGCACGAAGGTGTTCTAGCTCAAATGATGAAAAACTGTTCTGTTTGCCTAACAAAGTATATTCTGAAGGCTGACTGTTTTGTAATCCTTGATCTGAAATTGTTTGGGTCTGAAATTATAAAAGAATTAAATTATAAAATGGTAAATGGCTGACCTTTTTTTATGAAATCATCTGTTACTTTAAAATCAAAAGATAAGCATTAAGAAGTAATAAAAAAAGTATCATAAACCTAGTTAGTACAGATGCCATCTATATTTAAAATAACTTCCTCATAATTATTTTTTCTTAATAAGATGAATGGAACCTTCTTGATTATAGGTTTATTTTTATTATTTTTTATTTTTAAATGGGCAGATATTGTTATGAGTAAGATTTGTGTGGTCAGCTTCTGTTCTTCCATAAAACTTCAAATAAAAATCATTTTAGCTGTAACCAAAAACTGAAGTCTTTAAAAAATGGCAGATGTAATTTAAAAACAGTATATACTAATTTAGTTTGCTGTATGATTATGGTCTAATGGAAGTTTCATAAGCTCTCTTTTCTCTTAATTCAGAAAAGTATATGTCAGAGTTTTGGAATATGTCTTTAGCCAAGAATTTTATCCACTTACATATGTTTACAAACTTATATAAAGCAAAAAAGAATGTATGTAACTATAGTGAGCAATATAGTTTTGCTCATGTTATCTGATGTTTGCCAAAAGAAGAATAAAAGATGTATGAATTAAATCATTTGTTCGTTCAAATTGTTATTCTTAAACAATTTTACAATTTAGAAATAGGGAAAATCTTCTTTGTTTTAGAATTTTATCCTGGCTTTATTTTGTCCTTATATATAATTGAGAATAATACAATCCCAAATTCTTGCTTTAAGGGTTTTGGAATAAATATATAAACATAGCACTATGTCTCAGACAAAATAGAGGAAGATAAGGAGATAGGCATTTAAGCCATGGCTCTTAGAAATCAGGTTGAAGCTTTAAACCTTTTAGAATAATGAAGGTTATTTAGGGTAAATGAAATTGAAGAATATTCTAAGACTCATGGGTGTTGAAGAAGGAAATTTGCACAAACTAATGCTGGTACAGGACTGTTAATGTATTGTTTTGGTCCAGGTGTCATGAACTAGCTGAAGGAGCATATCTGTTGTGTTTCTGAGAATTTAATTGGTAATTTCATCATATTTTTACTGTTATTGAACAAATGAGTGTGATTTTTCTTCCTTTCCATATGTTTTCACATACTGATTCTTTCCTGTCTTAGATCTTCTTTAAAACCATTTTCCATCTTGCAGAAAAAATATAACTCAAAGGGTTTTGATTTTTTTTTTTTTTTTAAAGCAAGTTGTAGGAATTATCATTTCTTGTTCACCACCCTTCCTACTTGAAGGCCTTTGAGCTGCCATTGGGAGTTGAGAACTTCACCCAACCTATTTCACCTAGCTTACTGTCCTGGTCTCCATTTCATCAGCACCAACTCCCACCTGGCCAGGGCTGGGTACCCCAGTTCATACATGTTGGTTTCTAGTAACCACACACTAGTAATTAGTATTATTTGTATTTAGTTTATTATTATTGTTATTATTATTTTCCTTTAGTCTGTAAGTGCTTAGAAACAACTTGTTGACTTATTAAATTATCTAGCACACTGCCTGGCCTATATAGTAAGTGCTTATTAATAAATGTTGACAGTCATAAGATCAATTGAGAGGATAAGATTGGACTCTTAAGGAGTTGTCATTAGGTTAATGAACCATTAAGAGTACAGAGAGGTATTGACTTAGTATTGTGTCTGCTCACAAAAGGGCTGCTTTCTAATTTTCCTAACCCCTTGGATAAATCCTTAAGTCTTTAGGTCAATTTAAGGGAGGAATAGAACCCAAGAGCTTTTCTTTTTTCTTCTGACACTATTTTGTTTTGTTTTGCCTTCATGTATCAATCTACAGAATATAAAGATTCTTTATAAGTATACAGACCAAGAAACTATTAAGAACTTTGTTAATATATTGGCCAGGAAGAAGTTTGTAGTTGTCTTCTTTGAGTAGAATAAGGATGATGATTAGTGTAACTTATTGAATCAGATTACAGCTCTCTGCTGAAACTATCAATGCTCTGAACAGAGATGACTTCCAGTCTTCCTGCTGATTTTTCTTCTCCATGTTACCCTTACCTTGACAAAAGGAAACCCCTGTTTACTGTTTATTTACTGTTTATAATCTTAAGCAATACAGTATCAACCTGAGGACTAGTGAGAACCCAGTGTAGGAGTTTGCTGAGCAAAAATAAGAATCTAGTTTTAAAGAATAAACTGCTGTTTTTGAATCAGATATTTTCTCCCCTGAAATGAGAAGGGCATTCTACACCTATCTCAGAGTTTGTCAACAATGACACTACAGACATTTTAAGCTGGATAACTGTCATGAGGGCTGCCCTGTGCATTATAAGACACTTAGCGTTGCTGGCTTCTAGCAACCAAGTGCCGGTGGTACTCTTCCCCGCACCTCCCACCCCCGGAGGTGTGAGGAAGGAAAATGTCTCCCTGGGGACAAAATCACCCCTAAATGAGAACCACTTACTATATCATAAGTTGTACTGCTAACGAGGTTGGCAAGTTTTAAGGAAAACCATTTAGAATAAAAATGCGGCACATTAGAGCTATTCGTCTGTTTTTTGTAACTTTGTCAACTGCCTAAAGCTAGACTTTACATGAACCCCCTTTGAAAAGCTCAATGGACCTTCTTTTTTCCCTTCTATTTTCAGACTGTATCCTGACCCAGCGAGATGTGTTTATTTGACTTTTGAGACCACTGGTGGTAGTCAGGATAGACTAAGTCTGTGGTAACAACTCAAAAATCTTGGTGGCTTGTTCGACAAAGGAGTGTTTCTTGTGTGTGCTATGTTTTTGCCAGTTGGCTGGGAGCTGTGCTCCATGTCTGTATACTCTGGGACCCAAGCTGTCACCATCTTAAACTTTTCTTGGAGAGTTTCACTCCAACAAATAAATTCTGTGGTTCAGAAGGAACAGTCTGGTTTCCATTCGTTGACTTCAATTCTTCATACGGCCTCACCCAAACAGGAAAGTACCCAGAGGTATAGCCCTGCCATGCATGTGTCCTTAAGACAGCTGAAATAATTGGTGAACATCATTAAGGATTTTCACATGTACTGGAGAGACTGGAATTTGGAGTCAGACCTAGATTTAAGTCTTGACTGGCACTTAACTAACTTTTCAAACTGTGCATAAATTGGGGTGCCTGGACGGCTCATTAGGTTAAGTGTCTGACTCTTGCTTTCCACTCAGGTCATGTTATCTCAGTTCGTGAGTTCAAGCCCTGCTTCGGGCTCTGCGCTGACAGTGCAGAACCTGCTTGGGATTCTGTCTCCCTCTCTCTCAGCCCCTCCCCCACTTACTCTCCATCTCTCTCTCGAATAAAAATGAACTTTAAAAAAAAGCGCATAAATTTAACTTTTCAG